TATCCGAGGATCAAGTTATGAAGAAGCCATGCGGATAGTATTAGGAGGTGTAGCCTATTAGAGGCATAGTATAGGTTGAACTTGAATACCTATGTAATCGTTTTGTTATCTGATGTGTCAAATTGTTATGTGATTTTTATGGTTAATTGGAAAACTACAAGACAATACTTGGGACGAGTATGAGTAGGTGTGAAAGGTAGTAGATGCATATACTACCGGAAGCATAGGACTCACGCTTGGATCAGGGAAAGTCACAAGGTTACCAAGAAGCTAGTAATTGATTTCATTTTATTCAAGTATATTGTTACCATCGTTTCGTTAATAACTAAGAAGATGATTTTTATTCTGACCCTAGTACCATATCTAATTGAGTCCGACTACGATGAGTATGTTACGTGGTTCAGAGAACCAAGTTTGATGTAGCATCTGACTTAATTCGGAATATTGAAATAAAAGATAATCAAAGTGATCGGTAGATTTATCGCGATAGTTGCTTGTAGCTAGAAACACTACCTTTTAAGATGTGATTAGAACATTAAGGAGTGTATAGTCTGTTCTGGAATTTGACTCTAAAAGACCTGAGTCCATGCAATGCATCATACGATGAGAGGTTAGTAGAACATGACTCGTCGATCTATTATGATAATCGAAGGAACAAACTTATCTCAAGTTTGTTAAAGAAAGAGTCTCCAATAAAGATCGAGATTACGACATAAAGATTGGAAATCTAACATGAGATAGAGAGTAGGTACAAGATCAGGCACCGCCTGCAGTCAGGAAGTCTTCTGTTAGATACTCGTTCGAAGAAAAATTAAAGTTATGGTTATTACTTAGGATGAAGAGATAACATATGGAGTCATCATGTGAGAACTGTTTCGTTGATGATTCTGGGACTTAATCATCTCAAGGGGGAGATAATTGTAACGCCTATAGATCCAGGCTAGTCAATTTAGAGATAATAGGGGTCGAAAACGACTTTTCGACAAAAGATTATTTAGAATAAATAATCTTAACCAAGTTGTATAATATGTCTCAAGGGTTCCGTACATAGAAAGAGTGCCAAAATCCGAGTTATAACGAAGCAGTTATGACCCATCGAAGTTTCACGAATGAACCGACATGATACCTGGGAGACGTAAATAGTGAATTTATGATAGAGCGAATTTTAGCCTTAGTGATCTAAATGAAAGTCATAGAATATGTTAACCTGAGAGCGTCCATAAAAAGAACGCCCAAATCTGACTTCGTATGAGGAAGTTATGATTTTTCAAAAAGTTTGGCTTAGCAGTACACAACCCAAAACTCGAATTTTAGTTCGAGCAGATTTTGGCTTACACGACCTAAATGAGAGTTGAAGATCTCATTAATAGGAACTCAACGGTAAAAACACAGACGGAAATGGAGTCTGTATGAAGGAGTTACGAGTTTTTCGCGGTCATTTAACACTCTAATTTTCTTATACTATTAAATTTAAGATCGGTAGAGAATTAGCCGACGAAGTTAAAATTAAAGTTGTAGATCTTATTTTTGCCTACACATGGATATAAAGAACGTAAAAAACGGAGCTCGTATGTGAAAGTTACGGATTTTAGAAGACGGAAGTGTGCTGTGCGAAAATGGGTGACGTGACACAATCTTGGCCATTGGTTTCTCCCTAAGTCTTGCAACCAGATGGTGACATGTTGCACCAAGTTCAATCATATTTCACCCTATAAATAGGACCTCTCCCACCCTCATTTTCTTCACACATTTCCCATTCTTTCTTTTCTTTACTCTTTCTCTAGAACGTCTCTCTACCCGAAAAGTCTAGGCAACCTCCCTAGCACGAGGCAGAAGCCCCGGAGTGCTCGAAGGCTCCGAGAAGAAGTGCTTTTTGGCTCGGGAACGCTGCTCCAAGCAAAGCCGATTTTCTATAAATCCCGATGTAAGTGAGCTACGTCTACGCTATTTTTAATATAACTTTTATTTAATTATAGTAACGTTATTATGAACTTATAATAAGTACTTGGGCTATTATTATGGGTTATATAAGTATTGTTTAACGCTTATATAATATTAATAATAGGTAGACTATTAATTAGTCTGGACGAATAATAGACTAATCTATAGCGATACGAATACTAGGTTTCATCGAAGGAAATTATTTTTAAGAAGCGAAGCGCTGTCTGAGTTCGGAATCACCACCTTTTCAAGTGATTGCATAGTTACTTTCATCTTACACATAGATATTAAGTATTTTATATAAATTACGTGCTATGTGTGCATATTATTTGAAAACTTGTTGTCTATGTTGGATGAACGATTTAATGCATGTTTTAGAAGATTTAAACAATATTTTTATTGTATATCTACAAATATGTTGTGGATGAAACATAGGTAGATGAAATAGTTGGTGTGTGATGAAATAAAATGATGAGAGATCGGTGATTATAGAAAGGTGATGATAATTAGGTAAGTAGATGATGATGAATAGGTGATGTAAGATGAAAAGAGATACCATAACCTTAACCGACAATGTGGCGATGTAGTCTTCTACCAGAGTATAGATGGCGACCACAGACTATTCTAGACACCCCGTGGAAACACTAGCAGGCCCATAACCTGTAGGTGATGAAAAACTAGTTCAGGTGATGTTGTAACTACGTATTCATGCGATGATACTCTAACCCCTTACTATGAATTACAAGTTCAGGCGATGCTGTTACTATGTATTCATGCGATGATGCCCTAACCCTTTTTGGGCACGTATTAAGGGAGTGATCTCTGAATCAATACTGTCTATGTGATGTACACGATGATCCTTAGGGAGAGTCCTTAGGAACAAACATATAAGGAAATACGATGTAAGGAGATAAGCGGTAAATATGATGTAGGAGATGATTCCTTAGGATAAATCATTAAGGAAGATACTTAGGAATAAAGAAGATAATTGCGATTGGTAATTCGGTTAATTGTTTGATGATTAAACATAATAATTATATTATTGTGGGTTGAAAACCCTATGTAATCACCAGGTTTCCCAACCTGACCCACTCAGTTTACTTGTAGCACAGGTAACGATGTGAAGTTACATTACACTGAGAGATTAATGAGATATAGATCACTAGTGTAAATGAATGTAAGTTTTGTTTATGCTTTTGTTTCTGTATTGACGATGACATCCCAAATGTTTTAAAAGGAATAAAAATAATTTTCTTTGTAAATGCTTTGATAATGAAATTATCATGTTTTTCTGGGAACAAATTCCGCAACGTTTTTATTGAAAGTGATACTCTGATTTTTAGAAAGCATAAAAAAAATCGGTCTTTTCTGGTCGTGAAAATGGGGATGTCACAGACACACACACACACATACACACACACACATATATATATATATGTATATGTATATATATATACATACATATATATATATATATATATATATATATATATATATATATATATATATATATATATATAGTTTCAGTTATCGTTATTCACAAGTGAATAAAAATGTATCGGATTTTTACTGCAGTACATTCGTTATTCACTTATGAATAAAAAATATGATTAGTTTTTTTTTTTAAAATTTAAGTATCATTCATATATTAATATAGTATAAAATAAACATAATATATTTATATTTAGATAGTAGACGATGCATTCACTTGTGAATATTAGATAGTATATTCATTTATGAATATTAGAAGGTATATTCACTTATGAATATTAGATGATATTTTAATATGTGAATATTATATAGTATTAAATGGTATATCACATCTTAATATTACATAGTATATTCACTTGTGAATATCAGATGATATATTCACTTATTAATATTAGACAGTATATTCACATATAAATACTACAAGGTGTTATCATAAATATATATAATTTTTATATGTTATTCACATATGAATAACATACAGACTTGCATTTTTGTTTTGTGTTTTTAAAATCATATACTGATCCAGGTGAGAAAAAACATATTCATATGTGAATATAACATGAAATTTTAGTTTATATATTTTATCAAACAATTGGAGTGCATACAATATAACTTTTTTAAAAATGTTAAAACCATGATACTTTGAGTATTTAAATCTTACAAGGTAGTAGACTGATAGAGAATTATATGAAATTTTTCAAAAAAAAAAAAAAAAATGATTTGATCTTTTTTCTAACCTTAATTTTGAAGTTTTATGCGATGATCGATATTGAATAAAAGATATAAAGTAGATTTTTTGTTGATTATCGATGATGTTGATCTAATGACGCTCATAGTATAATTATTTGTAGATGTTGGAGATATGAGCGTATTCAAACACAATTGAAGGTTGGATTAAAAGAATCAAAAACGAATTTTTGGTTCGTTTATTGATGAACCAAAAATTGAAGAAGATTGATGATTGATTAACATTGGATGACGTTGATGAGTGTTTAATTGAAGAAATCTGAATGATTTTTGAAGATTGGATGAGAAATTGGATTATAAACAATCGATTCGGAATGAATTTCGACTGTTATCTAATTCTCTACTATTACGTATTTGATATTGAAGGTTATTATCATATTTTACAAGTTTGTCACTATATGTTTATATGCTTAGATTAAATAATTAGTTGAGAATGATTCTCTCATTTTCAACTTTTTTTTTTTCAATTGAACTCTCTCTCTCTCTCTCTCTATATATATATATATATATATATATATATATATATATATATATATATATATATATATATATATATATATATATATATATATATATATATATTACTTAACAAATAGTTTGAAATTTGAAGACAACCACTTAAATCAAAGGCACGTTTCTATGACAGAAAAGATAGTACAGGGACTGTTGTGGGAGTTTTAAACTAAGGACGTAAAAGATTGTCTATAAAGGAAACAAAGAGTAGTTCAGTTCTCATTCACTTTCCCCTCTAAATTTTTTTTCATTTTCCGATGGCTGAAGAGTCATGCATACATGCATTGATACAATCAATTTTATTCTTAATGTCCGGTTACCTTACAATCCTACTTTTATCCCGCAACCGTCCTACCGTTTATCTCGACAATTTTAATATTGTTTCACTGATAAACACATCCAGTTCGTCGACAAACACCGCAATCTATTTGGAACTGAGAATCCAGAATGAGAACTCGTGGATAGGCGTTTACTACGAGGATCCTCTAAATCTCACCATCACTTATTTGCAATCAACTGTATCAACAGGCAGCAATGTTATCATCGAACGATCTACCATTAAAGGCTTTTATCAAGGCAACGGAGAGGTTAAACATATCCAAGCATCTGTGGTGATTCAAGACTTGTTTTCAACAACTGAACGACCAAGGAGACTGGGTGAGACGAACGTTAAGATGTATGGTCCATCGAAAATGATCGACTTCGTAGTGGATTTGGAGGCCGACATAAAGTTCAAGTGTATTGAGAACAAAAAGTCTCATCTGACGATGCAATCTACTGTGGAGGTTAGCGACTACACTGGGACGTCTGTTCTAAAGACTATTCAAATGAAGTACACTTCTGGATCGAATGATTGGGGAGTTTGGCGGTGGGTACTTGCAGTTCCTCTGGTTAGTTTTATACAGGGTCTTTTAAGTCTCGCTTTTTTGTTAGCTTTCCTGTTCCTGTCCTTTGTTTCTCTTATGTGAACCGATCAACCTACCTAATGTTAGAACCCAAATTTAATTTTAATATATGATCTTAAGACCATCCACTATATATTGTGTAATACTAATCATCTTTCAATTGTGCACATGAGCATTTGTAATGGACACCACATCAACGAAATATACGCATCAAATTTTTTCATACAAACATATTTTAAAAGTTAATCATAAAAACTGTACGCGTTAAGAATCAACAAATGTAATGAATTTAATATTATGATATAATGTATGGTTATTTTACTAAACATAAAAAATAGAGAAAATTCTAGACGAAGACTTAAAAAGAAATAGGCCCCACTTGGTTTGTTTGAAAGGCTTTCAATACAATGGAAAGGAAAGTTTTGAGATGGCTTACAAATTTTACTTGCAATGCATTTGCAAGAAGCAAAGTCGATGCTCCAGGGTGTCAATCGTTGACTTGATGAGATTAGTTAAATCGGTTTTCAAATTAGTTGGTCGTTTGACATTTCAAAATTAAGCCTAGCCAATCGAATAAGGTTTTTTTACACCGAATTTCGGTTATTCTATTTCGGTTTATTTAGTTTGCTATACCAGTTAAATGAAATATGATTTCACTTGAGCAACATCAAAATTTTCGTTCACAAGCATGTAGTGAACAAAACCATTAGGAGATAGCAACCATCTCTATCCACCGATGAAAGATGAAAGCTGACACAATAAATGAAGAAAGCAATTGAAGAAGCTTGACTAAACTAGAAACTTTTAGATGTGTTTCTAGGATTCTTTTTCGGTGCAATTTCACTTCAAAATTCTCGAATCCGAGAGAGTCACCCGTTCCAAATTATGTCAGTTTTTATGGTCTCAAGGCTTATAGTTTATGGAATTTGTACCTAGAGTGACCAAAACTAATTATTGTTTATTTTTAGCCTCCACCACCGTTTGTCAAATAAAAGTAGATTGGTTTGTATGCAACTATACACTAGATTTAGGAAACAGAGAGCATGTAACTGATGTTTTTGTATGCAACTATACACTAGATTTAGGAAATAGAAGCATTCAAATATAATTCTAAGTGTACATGCACCATAGATCTAGGTTTTACTATTAAGGAAACGTACTTTCAAAACTACGAAAAAACAATCTCTCAAAAGAGAAAGAATACCAAACTTTCAAGTATAATAGTATATACATGTATTCACTTGAAGATCACAAACACATGTGTTGCTTATTGGAGACGTTATCATCCAAAATAGGAATGTTTATAATAACTCACACCCAAAAGACTAAAACTACAAACTTTTAGAGAGATGGGAGAAAGGATATGAGAAATGATTTTTCCAACCTTTCAGGAGGTTGTAATACACAAATTTGAAGACGTAGAAGGTTTTTTTATATAGTTGTGATGATAGGTAGATAACTTTGATTTGAATTAATTGAATAATAAGATTTAATTCTAATTCACATCTTTTCCTTATCTATTAAACAAGGTTGATTTTGAAAAGTCGTCAAAACCTTCAACACATACGGAGTTCTAGAATGCTCATATTTCTCAACTATTTAACAATTAATACTCAACCCTTGTGCATCTAGATTTATTCTAAATAATCCAAATTAGATCTTATTAATTTCTAATTAGTTTTTAATTAATTTATTAACTTGTAATAAATCAATCAATTAATTAGCTCATTCTCAATTCCTTTCTAGCTATTTTTGGTCATGAGGGCAACCCCAAAAAAAAAAAACTTTGTTAATTTTCTAAAAGTTACACCAATTAGCTATAACATTTGACACATATTTCCAACAATTTCCCACATGGACAAGTCATCAAACACTATTGGTCGAATAATCTTTGAATACCCAATAAAGTGTAGGGTCGAATAGATTCTAAAAGAATGTAATCATGTTGGAAACAAAGTAATGATTGGACACATGAGAGTAAATAAGATTATAATTTCGATCAGACAATACAAGTTTGATTACAATGTCAATCATAACAACTGTTCACAATGTATTCTCTACCTTCTAATTGACATCCGTTTATATAGGTTGACACCTAGGGAATCTGTTAGAGTAACAACTAATAAAAACATGACACCTAAACAATGACGGTCTGTGTAATAGTTAAGCTCATATACTACAAAACGTTGGCATACAAACTTTAAAACTTAACATGCTTTCAGAACGATAAATTGATGACTTGAAGTATTACAATTATGAATGCTTTCACATTAAAGTCAAACACAACACAAACAAACTCCGAGACCTAATAGTCCCCTTCTTTGTGTAGAGTTGCGAAAGAAAGTCTTCACTTGATCTAATTTAAAACTTGCGAAGCATAGTTGAATCATTGTCAGTATCGGCATCCACCATCTCAACATACCAGACACCAGATTAATGTCATTCTTTGGATTCAACTTGTAAAGTTTAGATTTCGAAATAATGCCGGTCGATGTCATAGTCTTATAGAAATGTTAATCTTGTAAGTACATCAGCAATTCTTTAGAAATTTGTTGATTACAACCTTGTAAACTATATCTCATGGTTCTTTTTGAATCTCTCTATCATTTATATTTTAAATTCCAAATGTTTGATCACAAGGACCTACATATGTCTTTTTCTTCTTCAAGAAATCTACTATTTCCACATCCATTTTGTGCATATCCATGAAATATTATCATAATACGAAGCATCCTTGTATTCAACTATCCACAATCTTCAAGCTTGATATCCTTCCCAATAAAAACTTCATCATCCTTCTTTTCAACTTCATACTTGTCATAAGATAACTCACGCTGAAGGGAATTAATCTTCACTTATTTCCTTTGAATCTCATCCTCCATCTTTACCTCAATATATTAATGTTCTACCAAAGTGTTAATGGAAGTTGAAAGCAGGAAGTTATGCATAGTGTTATCATTAAAAATAAAATTTTTAAGCTCATTCATCTTGTTCAATGTCACACCCCCAAACTGAAAAGGCGGAAACGTTTATGGACGGAGGACGTCATGTGAAGTATGACAACAATTTAGTAATAGTAATCAAAGCAACAACAACCATTGTATTAATAGTAATATTTTTACATTGCCTTTGAATTATACTTGATTGGCACCAAAAGTAAATAACAAGTAGAGACTCGAAGCTACTAGGCTCCATCTTCTTAGGCCTGGCGCGTGTACCTGTCTACTGGCGTCCTCAGAATACAAGTATGTTTTGGAAAAACTATCCTCTGTTCTTTCGAAAAGTACGTAATGTTTCTCTAGAAAACTTCATATTTTCTAATGTAATGAATGTTAAGAAAAATGATTCCTGCTAATTTTTCCTACGAGTACTTAGTGTATACAAATCATATACAGCAGGGGTGGATCCAAGGGGATCCCAGGATACCCCTCAAAAAAAATTTCGGTAGTGTAATTTTTGTTTACGTATGCCTCAAAAAAAAAAATTCGGTATAGTGTAGATATATGCATCCCTCCATTTATAAACACAAACACACAGTTGGTCTGCTGGTTAAGGCGTTGGCTTATTAAAGTTAAGGTCTCAAGATCAATTCTTGCTTCTTACATATTATTTGTTTACTTTTGTTTTATTTTCCCAGTTATTCTATCCCACATTGCTAAACACATGTAAACTGAGCCATTTTTTTTTCTATTATATAATCCTGTTATCCTCATGCTTTATTTGGTATCTACTTTGAGTCCCACATCAATTCAAGTATCAAAATATACTTCAACTTCATGTTTATATAACAAGACTTGAGGTTAGCTAAGGATTCGATTAAGATTTGGGTTTAAAACCAAAACTGAACCGGGGAAACCCAAGCACCTCGGGAAAAAAATTGGGTTACCCTAAAAAAAATTTGGATACCCCTTTACATTCATCCTGGCTCCGCCACTGATATACAATCCAGATTGAACAAACAATCGATTGTATGGTTCTGCCTCAAGTCTACAACCAAACAAGGAACAGGAAAAGAGGCGGAGACCACACATTCCACTGGTTTCCAGATCCTCATGTACATAATCCTGGAGCATTCACTAGGTACTTAAAAGGTTAACTGTATTGATCCATTCATATCCGTTGAAAGTGTTCTTCAAGAAAATCCAATATTTTCTTATGTAAAGTATGATAACTCATTCCTTATATGACTTCTTACTTCATACTAGTTATGTATGAACCAATATCGGTTAAATAGTTAATTGTGTTGATCTGCCCTAAACCCACAACCAAACAAGAAACAGGGAATGAGGCAGCAACCACACATTCCACAGTCTATCAGTTATTCTTCATGCATAACTTGGATGCATAAACTAAGTAGTCATGGAAATAAATGATGAATATTCGTTAGTTGGATAGTACCCAACTGTTTAAAAAATTACCAATGTTTACCCTGAATAATCCTATATTTTCCCTAAGTGTACATTATAAAATTATATGTTTCAGACCGTGGTGTGCAAGTATCTACCATACTTATGTTGTTTAAGCATTGTTCTGATTTCCTAAATACGTGGTTAGTACCTGTTGGATTAGTGTCTAAGTCCATAACTATTTTGGTATGTACTTGACCCGATGGTGCATGGTCCTTTTGGGTTGCCTTCACCAAAGCAACTTGATAGGATGAATTATGGAGAGAAAGGATTAAATATGATTTATTAATATATTATGAGAATAATATATTAAAGGAGAAATCATATTGTTTAATTAATATTACTCAAGAATTAATTGGTAATTAGTTTTGTGACTAAAAGAGATTAATTAAACTTAAGGGACTGGAATTGTAATTATAAGATAATTGCAATTTGGGCCATGGATTGTCTTATATTAAGGAGTGGACGAATTCTATGGGGAAACCCATGAGGAAATCATCCAAGGCCTTAAGGAAAGGAGTCCATGGGTTGCTTAGTGCTTAAGCATCCAAATAAGGGTTTCCTTGTTAGATAACCCTAATAGCCTCACTATATATAGAACACTTAAGGCTCAAAAATGTCGGGAAACATCTCTTCTAGGGTTAGAACACGTTTTGGGCAGCCTTTATCCTCTCTCCTCTTCATTCTCTTGCTCTTGGTGTTTGTGAACCATTAGAGGAGTGACATTTGTGACTCTAAGCTTTCTAAAGTCAATACAAAGAGGAATTGAGATTGTTATTGCTACATAACAATCAATGTATGATTTAAACCCTAATTATATGTTATATTGATTATCATATGTTAGATCTAGGGTTTATAGTCTTGGATAACTTGCATGTACAATAGAGAAACCTAGATCCAAGCATTAGGGTTTGTATGAGCACATAGGATGTTCTTATGACCAAAACCCATTAGTGGTATCAAAGCCTAGATTGGTTTCTATTGTATTGATGCTTTGTATGATTGAAAAATTCGATTTTTGGGTTTCTGGGGGCTGAACTCGCTGAGTCCATAGATGAACTAGCCGAGTTCATGCTGAGTCGACGAGTCCATACATAACTCGGCGAGTCGGCTGGTCTGATGGAGGGAAAACCGGGATTTCTTGCTGTTTTTGCTTAAGGATAGTTGCCTTATCTTATTAGATTAATATAAATCTGATTTTATGATATATTTGACTATATTCTTGATCTAATTAAAGATATTTATCAATTAATAAAATATTTGTTTCCATATGTGATAATTGATTAATTATTTTGATTAAATTGGTAAATTGTTTTGCAAGAAATCATTAAATAAATCAAATATGGATAATTATGTGATTAAATGTTAATTAAGATTATTTGTTATTTGATCCTTGTTGTTATGAAAAGTTTCATATTTTCCCCTTTAGGTTTTATAATTTAAATTTGAACTCACAAGTTTTATTGTTTTGAAATTTAAATAGTTAAAACCCTCATGTTTTGAAAAAGATTTCAAAACTTGCGCTCAAGTTTTGGAATTTAAATTTTGATTAAAAGTTTAATTTTGATGTATATTTAAATTCTAACCCTAATGTTTTTGAAATGTTTCAAAACTTTCCCTCAAATTTTGGAATTTAAAAGTTGACTAAAAGGTTTAATTAGGAATGTTAAAATCTAAAACCCTAGTAATGTTTTGAAAAGTTCAAATCACACCCTTGTGGTTTTATTAATTAATTAAGGTGTATAATTAAAAGAGGTTTAATAAATCCATAAATGTTTAGGTTTACAATTTAAATTGAATTAAAAATATAATTGTTAAATTTGACCACCTGGTATTTTAAAAGTGTAAAATACACCCTATACTATATATAACAGTAAAAGTCTAACATTATATATATGTATGAGTAAAAAGTCAGTCTTACCGTTAGTAGGCCTCATTCATGAAGCTGGTCTATAAGGGGTGTTTAAGGAAATTGCCTATAATATGACAATTGAATGGGTATCCGCTCTTACCCACCGCACTCTTGAGTAGTGGAGGGTCGTTAGCCGAACGGGTAGGATATGACGAAACCTTCCATTATAAGTATATTGAAATACAAAAGTAACTAAATATTTTTGCGAATTCCCAATCTTAGTTACTTAGGCAAAGTGAATTGATGCAATTCCATGAAATTACACTTTGTGCCGTTGCGAAGACATTAGTGGAGCGTGTGTGGTTTACCGGCACACTAAATGCTTCTAAGCAAAGGTAGCAAAGGGTGACTCATTGTTTGTCATAGTTCGGTGGAGCGTGTGTGGTTTACCAGCACATCGAATAGGTGACTGTAACATTTGAGGGCACCATCTAAGTTTGCATGGTTTTCACACCCGCTTTGTGATCCTCGCCATCCCAGTCATAAACAAGAGGGGCATATCGAGATTTTAACATGCCATTGAAATGTTCAATGAATCTCAAAGGATCTAGGAGTTTTCATAGATTTAAAACTTAATTTTCTTTTTCGTTTTTCATGGTGGAAATTGGTGAATCGTCATTCACTTACCTTCAAATATTCTGCAATTAGGGTTACGGCATCCCTCTCCCGAGTTGTGGAATATTGTGTTGGCTCCTAGCCTTAGTATCTCATTTGGGTGATTTACTAAGGACTCAATCAATCAACTAACTTTGAATTCGTTTTGTCGCATTTTGTAGATGTCAAAGTTCGACAACTATGGTATTTCCAAATCCCGTGGAACAAGCATTCCACATGAAGATGGTTGTCCACAATTCGATCGAGGAACAAGAAATCATGTTTCACTTCCTCTACTTCCTCCAATTATTCTCCTTAACCCACAAGATCGAAGAATTGAAAGGTTCAATATCACTAAAGCCCTATTGGAAATGAAACATGAAGATGGTAAACCCGTGTGTGCCCACGTTCTAGGAATGAAATCACACATTCATAGGTTGATAATGTTGGGTG